GGTCATCTAGTCCAACCCCCTGCTCAGGCAGGAAACCCTATACCATTTCAGACAAATGGCTGTCCAGTCTCTTCTTAAAAACTTCCAGTGTTGGAGCATTCACCGCTTCTGGAGGCAGGTGGTTCCACTGGTTAATTGTTCTCACTGTCAGGAAGTTTCTCCTTAGTTCCAGGTTGCTTCTCTCCTTGATTAGTTTCCACCCGTTGCTTCTTGTCCTGCCTTCAGGCACTTTGGAGAATAGCTTGACTCCCTCTTCTTTGGGGCAGCCCCTGAGATATTGGAACACTGCTACCATTTGTCTGAAATGGTATAGGGTTCCCTGCTTGAGCAAGCGGTAAATCGATCAGAAGACCTCCAAAATTCCTTCCAACTCAGTTATTCTGGTTACTTGCATTTCTCTACTCTGTCTCTAAATTTCGAGGATCATAGATAAGGAATGTGCCAGATTTACAATTCTGGAGATGAGAGACCAAAAACCATTTCCTTTTCCAGAATATTTTTTTCTAGACATTCACCAGATCCCCCGGAGCACTGCTATTCCCAGAAGAAAAACAAAAATTTTCTGATCTTTTCTATATCTCCAATTGAAAGGATCTAATAGCAGGTGGTGGGAAAGACCTTCCTAAGAGATGTAGAGAGCAGTTGATTGTCTGAATAGTCCTATAGATCTGATTGGACTTAGCTAAGTTTCTTATCTGCCATTAGGAACTAGCTTCTGAATTGGTGATTATTGAAATTATAGAAACGTACAGACCGCAGCAAAATCATATCATGAAATTAAAATCGTAACGTGGGGAATACACCGCCAACTTAACACAAAATCTAACTTAAATCAAAATTAATTTTGTTTTTACTTTCAGGAACATGCTGGTCAACACCTGGCCTTTGTTATCACAGTGAGCATTGCTCTCATTATCTTCATCATCATGTATGTTTTAGTTTACGTCGAATATTACTTTTGGTGCCAGCTGAAGATCTTTGCGGTCGTGATCTGGATCAGCTTGCTGGCCATCGGATATGTGTCCATTTTCGACAAGGAAAACCCTAATCCAGCTGGTTGGGAACAGGTATTTCTGTCACCTAATTATGACGTCATCCTTGCGCCAGAAAGAGACTACTTGCACACACACAGCCTCCCCAAACATTCCTTTCCTGATCCTCATTCAGTCCATCCAGATAGCATTGCCAAAATAGGGCAGGAAAAACCACTTTTTATTTTGTTCAGAAAAAAAGTTAAAAGACAAAACACCAAAATAGTTTTTTTAAAAAAGACAAAATAAAAAAGAACAAACAAGACATTAAAAAGAAAAAGGTGCATTAAAAAAGGACTAACACATATATACACGTTACCCTCCTTAGCTGAATGCTGATTAATATATTACAATAATATTAGAGTCCCACTCCTTGTGAAACAGGCCCAAAGAATTTTAAATTACTAAACTATTAAATCTATTTACAAATTGTTAACCTGTCATCTATATACTATATTAATAACAAAATAGAGGAGGAGGAGGAGGAGGAGGAGGAGGAGAAAAAGAAGAAGAAGAAGAAGAAGAAGAAGAAGAAGAAGAAGAAGAAGAAGAAGAAGAAGAAGAAGAAGAAGAAGAAGAAGAAGAAGAAGAAGAAGAAGAAGAAGAAGAAGAAGAGATTTATTGTAATCAGCTCATAGAAAATTTACCATGGCTTCTTTAAAAAAATGCCCATTTTTGATGATGCCATTTTTCTTCCTCCTCCTCCTCCTCCTCCTCCTCCTCTTTTACCATGTAAAATGGTAGAATTTTAAAATTGGAGGGTAATGAGGCATTGTGCCTCTTAATTCCCTTGCCCAAAACCTTTTTGCTCTGCTGATCCTAGTTGCATTGACTTAACCTAGCTGTTGTCCTCTCTGAATGTCCTCAAATATTATTTCTTGAAGGAAAAAAAAGAGATTACAGGATCCAAACTGGATCAGTCACCAGGACCAGAGGTTTAGTCTTCCGAGCTTTTGGACTTGTGCTGGACCCCATCCTCGGGGAACTTCTCTCTCACCAGAATGTGTGCTTTGGGCTGTTCTACGTATAGTACTATTCTACGTATAGTACTTATGTAGTGCCTGATTGTGTGTGGCTTTTTAGTTGTTGATTGGGGTGTAAAGTCGTTGGATGTTGTTTCCTTGTGCGTCCAAGTCTTCGGCTCCTAAGTATCTGATAAGCTGTGATAAATCAGCACTCCTGTTGACTGACAAGGGGCCCATTTCCCAGATTTCAATCATTTCCCTGGCTATTTTTGTACCTGCTCGGCCAACAATTTTAGTAACCGAGAAATTGAATTTACATCCTTGTTCATTGCAATGTGAGGCTACCAATGAGTTCAGGTCTCCCCGCCTGACCGCTTGTTTATGTTCTTGCAGTCTGGCGGTTAGCTGCCTCCCCATCTGTCGTACACAAGGGCAACCCATACAGGGGATCCAGTAAATTACATTAGAAATATCTCCCCCCTCCAAGCAATCTTTCCGTTCGTGAAAGAGATTACATTACTCAAGAGTGTGTGTGTAGGGGGGAATAAATTGTTGCAGGCAATACACTGATCAATTTCTCCTAATTCCTGCCAGTGAAGACTCTTCTCTATTAACCTTCTCCTTGTTTTTATTCTAGGTACCATTTTTTCTGTTCATCATCTTCACGACATACACCATGTTGCCCTTGGCTATGAGAGATGCTGTCATAGTCAGCTCCCTTTCTGCCCTCTCTCATATTATCGTCCTCAGCGTTGCAGCAGCCAAACACCCACAGAACCAACACACCTTGCTCCTTCAGGTAAGGCACCTTGGGGGAAACTGAAGCTCAGGACCACCAGTGTCTCCTGGAACATTTGTGGGAGGATCCTCTGATCACAATCACCAAAAGCCAGGCATGATTTCCTGCCTGTTGGAGGCCACAAAGAAAGCAAACATGTAAATCTTCAAGAGGTTTCAGAAAGATTTAAAAAGCAAATTTAGAAAGAATTGGTCTCCTCAACCTGGGTTATGGTTGATGCCCCCCCACCCCTGGTAAGCATCATTTTTCAAGCAGTGTTCCTTTCTTGGGGGGGGGGGGGAGAGGAAAGGAAATGGAACAATTCTTCTATTAAAAAGGTATTATGAATTGGATAAGCGTTGATATTAGAAATGCTTTCCTCTTTAAAATTAGCTAGCTTGTGCATTCTAATGACAATCCTTTACATAAAGTTTTAACTTTGGGCATGCATAATATCAATCTATATATGCGTGTAGATACAATATACATTTTATGTTCTTGTTGTTTTCCAAATTGGGCATTGGGTGTTCACCTCGTAGTGTTTCTTTCTTCCTTTTTTTCCACAAGCGTCTTAGAAGAGCTTCTGAAGTAACAAAACCTCCACGGCCCAAGTTAGGCCACAAAAAGTTAGTTCCCATTGGATTGGAGGCATAGTTTTAGTGTTTCAGCACAGCCTGTAGAAAGTTTGATCATTTGCTTGTTGAGTTGGAATGACTATTTAATTTAGAACAAGGTTGGAAGGGACCTTAGAGATCTTCTAGTCCAACCCCCTGCTCTAGCAGGAGACCCTATACCATTTCAGACAAGTGACTGTCTAGTCTCTTCTTAAAAACCTCCAGTGATGAAGCACCCACAACTTCTGGAGGCAAGCCGATCCACTGGTGAATTGTTCGCCCTATCAGGACATTTCTCCTTAGTTTTAGGTTAGATTTCTCTTTAATGATCTTCCACATGTCACTTCTTGTCCTGCCGTCAAATGCTTTGGAGAACAGGCTGATCCCTTCCTCTCTACGATAGCCCTCATCTTAAAATTTAAGAGAAAAGATCCTGAGATGACAAGGATCTTAAATTCATCTGGAGCTTTGATTCACATCAAAACAGTATAACAGCTGTTGAGTGAACCACACAGTTCTTCCCAGATCTTTTTCACAAGGCAGTGCTAAATTTCAGAAGGAATATTTTGATTTTTTTTTTTAATGCCAAGAGTGAGTACTTGAAGACGGATAAAGGGAAATACTCTAGTTTTGTAAATGTGGAAACTATGACCCACCAAAGTATTTCTGCAGTTGTTTGGCAATCCCTGCTTGTCTAGACAATCCGTTTTTTAAGAATCTGATAAACAAGTCAGCAAAACCATTTAAGATCCACACCACTGAGGTGTGTGTCATATTTTGGAAGGTGAGGTAATGCACTTCCTACCCCCAGATAAATGCTTTGGACGTGATTGAAGCAACTCTTTTGTTAATATGTTGCTTCTTTCTTGGCAAATCTGCTGACTTTTGAGGAGGGATGCATTTTCATGCCATCGTCTCATTTCTGAAGGACTCGCTTACTTTTGGTCAAAAAATGGGCTTGGTTTAATTCCTAGCCAGAAAGCAAAGCAAAACAAAATCTCAGGCCGATTTCCTTTCCTGTATCAATCAAACAATAATTTCAGTATGAATGAAGATATTTAGAGAGCAGGCAGTGTGGGATTCCAGCATGGTAAAAGTCATAAAATGAAATGAAGAGAATATTTGGACTGCTGGAAAGCAGATCTAACAGGCGACCTTGGATTGTCTCTCCTGAAACTTTTTTTTAAATTAAATGTGGTAACTAGGTATGTTTGCTATGGTTCCTCAATCAAACTGAGCAGGTAGATAAAATGAGAGTTTAAGATCATGGCTTATTCTGAATGTGATAACTATGGTTTTCTTGTTTGGGAAAAGAAGGAGATACAACGACGCACACACACACACACACACACACATATATATATATATATATATGTTAGAAGTAAAAAGTGGAGAAATTTAGACTAGACTAGACTATAGAGTAGAGTAGAGTAGAGTAGAGTAGAGTAGAGTAGAGTAGAGTAGAGTAGAGTAGAGTAGAGTAGAGTAGAGTAGAATAGAATAGAATAGAATAGAATAGAATAACAGAGTTGGAAGGGACCTTGGAGATCTTCTAGTCCAACCCCCTGCTCAGGAAGGAAACCTAGAGTCTAGACCATTTCAGACAAATGGTTGTCCAATCTCTTCTTTAAAACTTCCAGTGTTGGAGCATTCATAACTTCTGGAGGCAGGTTGTTCCACTGGTTAATTGTTCTAACAGTCAGAAAGTTTCTCCTTAGTTCTAGGTTGCTTCTCTCCTTGATTATTTTCCATCTGTTGCTTCTTGTCCTGGCTTCAGGTGCTTTGGAGAATAGGCTGACCCTATCTTCTTTGTGGCAGCCCCTCAAATATTGGAACACTGCTATCATGTCACCCCTGGTCCTTCTTTTCTTTAGACTAGCCTCATTTGCTTGTATGCAAGGGTGAAAAGGCTAATTCTTATATCAGTGGGTTAAGCTGAGGTATGACTTTGAAATCTGCTATATTTTTTCAGCTCTAAAGCCTGGCTTTTTTAGAAGTGGCAGGAAGGATATATGTTTAATTTGTACCATATGTATTCCATTGCAGGGAAAATTATGTGTAGGAAACCAACCCAAAATTTAATTGCCTTAGACAGAGAAGTTTGTTGACTATGATTTATGATGTAGCCTGTTGTTAGAAACCAACAATTTCTGACTTACTAAAATCACAGTAGTTGTAGCACAATGTGTGAACTTAATCACTGTGTGAAATCACCTGGATTAACAAACATGAGCCAATGTATCAGTCATGGCTTTGGCAATAAACACCCTCTTGAAGTTAATCTTCTAGTTTTGGACAGGTTTCAGAGTTTGGAAAATGTGTTTCTTTTTTCTCCTAAAACAAAATACAGTTTCACGCAAGTATTTGTAAAACAAATTGTACTCCCCCCCCCTCCAGTTCTATTGTACAGTCAATCAGGGATTTAGGGAAAAAGTTGAGATCAAATAAAATGAAAGCAGGGGATTTAATTTAGTGCTTCTTCCAATCTTCCTACAAAATCTAGATCATCTGGCAGGGCAGGTTCAAAGCAGAGAGCTTCCAATTTTTGAAGGTGATTTCAAGATGAATCAACCCACAGGTCAAAGAGAAAGGGCACAAAACCTGGAACTGCAAGATAATCTGGGGAAAAATGAATTCCCAGACTTATAATAGGTTAGTTAAGTGCTGGCAAAATTAAATTGGAAGAGTCTTTGTCAACTCCATTGGCTGGTAGAGTCTTTCAAATCTGAACATGGTCAGTCTACTCAAGTATGGCCAACTCTGACAGGCAGTGAAACAGCCTGAACTGCGCCTTGGTTAGAATGCAGCATTGCAGACAAACTCTGCCCAGGAGTTTGATCCTGACCGACTCAAGGTTGACTCAGCCTTCCATCCTTCTGAGGTCAGTAACATGAGGACCCAGATTGTTGGGGGCAACAGGCTGACTCTGTAAACCGTTTAGAGAGGGTGGTAAAAGTACTATGAAGCGGTATATAAGCCTCAGTGCTATTGCTATTGAAATTCGGACCATTTGTGTGCAAAGTAGATCCTCTGCAACTGAGCTGTGGTCCCTTCCCATGCTATCCTAAGATTATTTTGAGGTCATTTCATTCAAAACAAGGAGTGTCCTTCTTAACATGAGCTAACTGCTAATCCTTGTGTAACTATTATTCCTCTGCGTAGCTGCTTTCCTGTGGATGTTGGCTGTATTTATTTTATTTCGTCAATGATAGTGAAACAACCCAAATCTTCACATGGTTGTGTTGAAGGGTCTACACCAGGGGTAGGCAACCTTGGCTGTTTTATGACTCGTGGACTTCAACTCCCAGAATTCCTGAGCCAGCCATGCTGAGGGGAAAGGGAGAGTTTCCAAGCTGAGCCATGGCTGGCTCAGGAATTCTGGGAGTTGAAGTCCACGAGTCATAAAAGAGCCAAGGTTGCCTAACCCTGGTCTTCTGTCTCTCTCTCTCTCTCTCTCTCTCTCTCTCTCTCTCTCTCTCTCTCTCTCTCTCTCTCTCTCTCTCTCTCTCTCTCTCTCTCTCTCTCTCTCTCTCTCTCTCTCTCTCTCTCTCTCTCTCTCTCTCTCTCTCTCTCTCTCTCTCTCTCTCTCTCTCTCTCTCTCTCTCTCTCTCGGCTTTTTCAAGGATTTGACCACCCTCTTTTTAAAATCAGCTTTTATTTATTGATCTTAGTTATCTATAGTATTTCAAGGCATCACTTTCATTTGAATTTTTTTTTTTACTGTAGAGTACTGACAGTTGGGTGGGATGAGTTGAATAAACGAGTGAAGCATTTCTGGAAAGTTGGTTTTAATAAGCCATTGAACAAGAGTTGGTAGGAAGCTTTCTCTGGAAAAAGCCTTGGGGAATTGATGGGGAAGGACAGATAAGACAAAGCTTTCCTGTTGCAAAATTGGAACAAGACAGGATTCTTTGTTTTGCTGTGCACAATTATTATCTACGGTGAAGTTTGCTTTTAGCCTAGCCTTCTGTGCAGATTGGGCTATTACGGCTTGTTCAGTCAGATGTGGTTATGAAGAATCTTGTGAGCATCACCGGCTGCAAAAAAACAGAAGATGGTAACTGCATGGTTTTCTTTCATTTCTTCAGCTTGTTGCAAATGCTTTCATTTTCCTTTGTGGCAATTTGCTGGGGGCCTATCACAAGCATCAGATGCAAGACGCCTCGTGGGACCTGTATCACTATACCTTAAAATGCATCCAAGTCCAAATGAAATTAAAAATCGAAAAAAGGCAACAGGTAAGGGGAATATCCAACTGTAAAAGAAAACATGCTTTCCTACACGGCTAATCATTAAGAATGCAATTATTAACCTGCAGATAATTATTTAGTGCAGTACATAACTCATTCCAGTTTCTCTTGGTGCCCTCTGAGTTTGGTTTTTTTTCTTGCAGGTATTTCATTACCCAAACTCGGTAACATCATCAGTAGCCAATGCCACTCCCTTCTAGCACTGATGATGTTATCTAGTTGGGTAATAGAATGTCTGCAAGAAAACAACAAAGCTCAGAGAACCCCAAAGTCGTCATCCTCCTCCTCCTCCTCCTCCTCCTCCTCCTCCTCCTCCTCTCCACAAACCCCAATTCCCTTCTAGCACTGATTATGCTACCTAGTTGGGTAATAAAATGTCTGCAAGAAAACAACAAAGCTCAGAGAGCCCCAAGGTCATCCTCCTCCTCCTCCTCCTCCTCCTCCTCCTCTCCACAAATCCCAATTCCCTTCTAGCACTGATTATGCTACCTAGTTGGGTAAGGAAACATCCCCAAGAAAATAAACAAGCTCAGAGAGCACCAAGGACCCCACAATTCAACCCTGAGCTTCAAATATTCTCCTTCGTTCCAGGTTCTGTAAGCCATATCGCTGCCTGCTTGGTAGCCATTAACATGAAAACAGAGAAATATTTGTGAATGTTTTTCTAGAATAATTCCTGAATAGTCCAGGAACCTCTCTGGATAACATGAATATAAGCAGAGCATTTTTGCGCAGATTTACAAGCGTTGGAGTTGGGATGGAAGCCCTAAAGGAATGAATGAACATTGAACGGCCTAATGAGCTTAATGAGGGAGGGGGCTTTGCTCTTATTAGTTAGGTTAGGTTATTGGTCTTAATTAGGTCGCTCCTTCTTCCTCCTTTGAAATCTTACTCTTGCTTTCAGCAGTTCAAATCTTCTTCTTTTCTCCCAGGAAAGTTTGCTCCTGTCTATCCTGCCAGCTCATATATCCATGGAAATGAAACTAGCCATCATTGAGCGCCTGAAAGAAACCAGCGACATGAAAAAGCATGATAATAACTTCCACAGCCTCTATGTGAAACGGCACCAGAACGTCAGGTAAATTTTTGAGCTTCCGAGACCCGCTTTCTCTATGGCAGTGGTGGCGAGCCTATGGCACGGGTGCCAGAGGCGGCACTCAGAGCCCTCTCTGTGGGCACGCGTGCCGTCGCCCCAGTCCTAGGCCTTCAGCTGGGTTTTATAAAACCTTTTTGCTTTAGGCCTCCGCTGCCGTGTGCAAAAAAAAAAAAGTTTCAATCAATCAGTCAATTTCAACTTCTCGCGGGAAAAAAAAGATCTTGCAAAGTTGGAATTGATTGATTGAACTTTTTAGTCCCACCCAGTCTGCCGTTACCACCACAGCAACGTCCACCCAATGGGCCACACCCCCCAATTGGCCACACCCAGCCAATGGGCCACACCCACCAGGCACCCGACGATTCATAAGTGGGTTTTGGGTTGCAGTTTGGGCACTCGGTCTCTAAAAGGTTCGTCATCGCTGCTCTATGAGGTCAGGATCTGAAAGAGGCCATCAGGTTCTTGAGACTTCTCTTGAGAGAATCACAGCTTCTTCAAGTTGGACTCAGCTAAGAGCAATCCCAGACTAATATATATATATGTATATCTTGAGTTTGGTGCACCCTGTCGGCCCAAATATGGGAGAAAGGAATCTTTTGCCTGTATCAGCTCAAACTAGAGCCATCCGCAGGCTTAGCAGTCGCAACTGTGACATTATATGTGTTTATATACATTATATATGTTCTCCCATATTTGGGCCAACAGGGTGCACCAAACTCAAGATAATTCTTCTCCCCTGTCTCATAGCTGACAAAGTGAGAAAGAACCTGTGGCCTAGAGGTTAATACATCTGCCTAACATGCAGACAGCCCAGGTTTGAATCTCAGAAGGGTATGTCTGGTTGAAAAGAACTAAAAAGTTCGAAATGGCTATTCCAGTTC